TGGCTGTCAATTGATGATGGATATTGTGTCGTTTGTGTTGGGCAATTTAATTCAAATCATTCTTTTTAGCAAATTCTTGTGATCATTGATATTGAGCTTTTAAAGACCATTGGCACAAAAAGGGATTAGACCTGGTGGCTTCACAGATAGCGTTGATAAAGTTTTGAAAATTATCTCGACTATCATGAGGGTAATAAAGTGACATGTGAGAGGGTTATGGATTTTTTGTTGTTGTAGTAGGACAAACATACGCAACATTTGTAACGAATCATATTAATTAACACTCAAAGAAAAAAAATTAAAAATTGTTTTTTTTTATTTTTATTGAAAAATTTGCAACTGAGAGCTTTCTGAATGGCCTATTGAGATCAATAATTAATTTAATTAAAAATTAGAATTGTATTTTTATATTTTTTCATTGAAAAATCTGCAGCTAATGGTCTAAAAAATAGACCTTATATTATTCGAATTATAGGATTAAATTTTTTAACAAATGGTGTGATTGAAAAATATTTCTAGGCTAAAAGCTGCGAGTTTTTGAAAAATGACGATTTTCCAAATTTCTAAAAAATATTCCTTTATTCCTTTTTAAGACTCTTCCTTTTAAGACTTTAGTATTACCAAAATATGCCCCGATGACTGCAAACTGTAAAGTAGTGTAATAAATCCCTTTTGAATATTGTATACAAATTATTATTTACCATGCCAACCATTCGCCGAGTCCATTCATCTTCCTTATGGTTTTGTCCAATGAAAAAAAAAATCCTCATGTGGTTGGGTGGCAGAGAACATTAACCACAGCTTCTTAAATCACATTGTACGCACACACACACACACATATTATGCAAATTTTCATTTATGTTAAATGAATCAAAACTCCGCCACTAAGGAGCTAAAAAGGATAACCAAGCAAATAAAAATAAACCAATTTTTGTTTTTGTTGTTGCCTTACGAATCGTGCCGAACATGCTCATGTAACACTTCTGGGCGGTTTTAAATATCACCGAAGACTTTAAAATAAAGCTGAGATTGTCGGCTGAAAGCAAACATGTTTTGCTACTTTAGCGGAACAGCAGTCGCAACACAGTTCTGAGGTGGTTGTCTTGTCTCCAACCATGGAGTAAAGGATTTGAAAAGACTTCGCTGCCAATTGCCACTCATTGAATGGTCTAAAGCAGCAAATCCTTTGAATGGTTTAGCCACCAACATTTGGAGATTTTAATTTCATTTGTATTTTCAGTTCGTGTGGTTGTTGCAATTGTTGGTCCAAACATACATCATGACATGCCGATATGCTTGTTTGGCTTAAAAGACTTCTGTGATCAGACTTATTAGCCAACAAGTCGTCTTGGTCATTTGGGAGGGGAAAGAAAATACAAACATACATACATGTTTGTGGTTCTGAGCATACAGCACAGCACATGTGGGAATGTATGTGTGCGAGTATTTGTATCGTTTATAAAAAGCCAAATAAATATTGTATAGTTTGTACTCCACAATTTTAATAAGTTTAACATTTTTGAGATTTTTCGTCTTCCTTTCCTTCTATAAAATACGAGGTGTACTTAGTAAATTAGGGAAATATTAAATGAGTACACAATTTTTAGAAAAAATAAATAAATAAAATGTTCCTTGCACACAACAATTCAAATCCCTTTAAATCGGTCAAGTACTTTTTTTCGGACTAAGATATTGCAATTTATCTGATAATAGGTTATTTATGTTTTGTAAAAATTTAACACCAAATTACAGACGCTCAGGTGGGAAAATTAGGCTATGAACTTAGTTACAGCCACGACAGTGCGGTTTAAATTTATTCTTTAAAAACCACCAAAAATACAAATTTAACAACCTCCTCAATACTTGGAATACCATCCTCTTATTTTTTTAAATTCTGCCCTTAATGGTGATGCTGTTGTTTAGATGATGTTATTGAGAGCGTGCTATGTGGCAATCATGTGTCTGTTTTTCGCTTTCGGCTACTTATTTTTTGTTGCAGCATGTTTCTTTTAAGGGGTTGGCTACTGCAACACATCGTTTTGTTACTGCAATGATTTTAAAAGTCTTCGATCGCCCTCAACACAACATACAAATGCAATCCATTGTTGTTTTTGCTAGCCTATGGCAATGCATTGGAAAATTACTGGTCATATCCACAATGTCAATACAGTAGCCAACAAGAAGAAACACTTTTACACTCATTGGATGTGGATACATACGATAGAGGAGTATGTGCGTATGTCGATTTCATCCTTCACAGAAAAAAAAACAACTTCAATGAAGTTATGGTTAATGTTGTTTGTGGCACACGTTGCACGTGATTTTTTCATTTTCTTCTTCTTCTACACATTAAGTACAGACGCTTATTGGCTGTTTTGCAGGCTTACTACTTGGCTAAGCTAATGCTGGCACAAGGCAATTGCGTTCATCTAATTTATCTTATTTTTAGTGGTGGCACAAAGAGCACAGATGCGATCGAAAATGGCAATGGCATACTTCGCTGGTTGGTTTTTTTTCTTTAATGTCTCTGTCTCATTAGCGTAATTAAATGAGCCAAAGAAAGTTGAAAATTTTAAACTGCGTTACGTTCCTGACATAGGTATTTTTTTGTTGTTGCGGAAATTACTATATCACATTGTCATATGTTTGGTATGAAAAGTTAGAGGTTATCTTGTTAAATATCGTCGTTTTTTAATATTTTTTTGTATATCAAATGAAGATTACAACAATCTAGAATAGAACACTACGGTATATATATGACAAAAATTTAATTCTGAATATTGTTTTATTTTTCTATTTTTCGTTCACAGTATCAGCAGAATATGTAAGGCATTACCGATTTTACATTTCAACTATTTACAACGTGTATATATAGTGAGTCACAGCCATTATAAACATCCTGGCATAAAATATCAGAAATACTCAATATCAGTCGATTTGGTGTCATAAAAATTATATTGAGGCACATCGAATTTGCAACAAGCCGAAAACTAGCGAGAAAAAATAGTCATATAGTGACCGATTATCCAAAGCAAAGTACACCTAAACTTTCTGAAATCGCAGAGAAATATCTGGACAATAAATGTAACCCAGAAACAATTCAAAGAATTTTGCGTAAGCATGGTCTTCATTTTAGAGTTGCACTGGATAATCAGATTGGAGTTCGTTCAGGAATACGAAAAATATAACATTTTGGAAATCTGCCGATGAAAGCAAATTTAACTTGTTTGGTCGGAAGGACCAAGTAATCTATGGCGCAGGATGAATAAATAAGTACTAACCATTCCAAAAAATCCGTTTGCTAAAAAACTTTTATCTTGGATATTTTTCACTGTGAGGTTGCAATTGCTTTTGTTTGACAATCAATATATAAATATATATATTTATATTAGAGTGGGAAAAAATATTTTTATATGAACTATCGGACTTTTTTTTAACATGCTTTGGAATGTCCGATTTTGGCCAAATATGCACCGTTTTGTTGTATGATTTGTTGCAATTTTAAAGGTAACTTCATTATACCTCCTGCTCACTATTTGCAAAATGCTCTAGTAGTCGATTTTCACAATCCTCCCTCCAAACCAAGCTCCTGAAGTTTCTGGGCAGTCAAAATCATTAAAATCATTTTCACAGGCAATATAAATAAGGGTTCCGGATACTATAATGCGCAATTCATAAAAAATATAAAATGTTCGGCTCGTCGATTTTTTTCCACAATTCTAAAAAATGCTTTCAGAAAGTAGAGGGTGTGGTAAAAAGGTGTGTTTTTAAGTTTTGATCAGAGTTTGACGTGACATCTTCATATATTCCCCCTTCGAAAGAGGGATAGGTAAGGGTTCAATAGGCATGATTGTCTTAATCTAGGTCTTAAGGAGACCTGGGTATTAAAGAAATAAAATATTCCTCATACTTTGTCAACCAATCTCCTTGATAAAAGTGATGCATTTAATTATTTTATTATGATACAAAACAGAGCGACTCATTACTAGTCATATATTTGTATAGTCCTGACGAACATCGACCACTGAATCATCTGAAATTTTTTTTTTACAGCCAGTCCTTGTTTAATTTGGGGACTGTACCACGTTATTTACAATTTTAATTAATATATTCTTAGCAGAAATTCGATCCTGGCACACATCATATATATTATTGTATGTTTTACAAAATTGCAAATACACATTTTATTCCATTGTACTCGTATGCTGCCGAATGTTCCTGAGTAATTAAGTCAACTCTATTCATCCAGGTGTGCATTAGATAAAGATGTCAAATGGTTAGGCAAACTTCAGTTATTGACAATTGTTTATCTGTGATATGGAAATTGAATTTGCAAATTCGATGGCGATGGCGACAATTGGAATAAATACATAATGTTTTTACAATTATTTCTGTACACCATGAGTCACCTATATTATAAGTAGGATTGATTAAAGTTTGAACTTATAGACAGATTTCAGTATAACAAATGTGTTGCATATACGGCATGTTTACATAGCCTAAGGTATAAATAAATATTATGACTTCGCCTTTTTACATTTTCTGAAAGTCAATGTTGATTCTGTTCATTTCTCCCCACTTAATTTATTCTCCACTACCAAAAAAATTTTACTAATCTTACGAAAAAAGTAACTACCCAAAAAACAATAATTAAATTTAATAAGACCATGTTCCTTCATCCTTGTTATGGCCATTTAAGGCTACTTAATTTTTATATGTTACGGACCTCTGTTTCATTTTATTAGCAACATAACAAAGAGTTATTGGTTTTTGCTAATTTTTCAAGACAAGACATTTAGCAAGTACACCAAAAACGACAACGATAAACAACAACAATCTCCCACCCATTGTGAAAAATGTTCTTCGCTTGTCTGCCGCTCTATTAAAACACATTAGTACCTCGTTAAATTATGATCTTTTTAAGCATAAACGACCGACGTCTTTTGGAAATAAAAAAAAAATAATGCAGAAAAAAACTTAAATGCGGCATTTCCACTCACCTGCCAGTCTGTCCTTGACCGCTTGATGTGCCAGCGCCGCATGATGTAGTGGCGGTAGGGCCCATGTCAATGGTGTTCTTTGTGGTGGTACTCGCAAAACATGACCAGCTGCTGCTGCCGCCGCTGCCGATGAATGATAGAGATGAGGATATGTGTAAAGTGCAGTAGCTCCACCATATGTACTGGAAGCTAAGCTGGTGGCTAATTTATAGGCAGCTAAATCTTGTTCATTTTGTAGATCCTGTTCACTACTGCTCGATTTATTACTATCGTTATTGTTGTTGCTATTGTTATTATTATTGTGATTATTGCTATTGTTGTTGTTGTTATTGTGTTCAAAGGGTTTCGAGAGCAGGCGTGATATGCTAAAGGGTAGATTTTCACTTGATGAGGATCGTGTTTGTTCCGATTGTGTTTCACTGGAAATAGATTAGACAAAATTATTTATTATTAGTATAAGAGGAGATATTTTTAATAAGTCGTTCACTTTGAACATTTGTTTAAATATATTGTAATAAAATTTTAATAACAAAATGACTATGCTAACTTGATGACCAAGTACAAAAAAATGTTTTTTTTTTTATATAAAACGAAATATTTTTAATAAATCAATAATAATATGCGTTAACGCATAAATATTTTTTAACAAAATGCCTATGCTAACCTGATGACCAAATTAATTTTTTAATTAAAAAATAACTTTTTCTAATAAATCTATTAAATTATATGTTTACGCATACTTTTTTTCAAAAAACAAAAACAATCTATGCTAACCTGATGAACAAATACAAACAATTTTATTTTTATAAAAAGAAGTATTTCCAATAATATACAAATAAATTGTATGTTTACGCGCATTGCCACAAATACATTTTAACAAAATACCTATGCTAACCTGCTGACCAAATACAAACATCTATTTGTTATAAAAATTGGTGTTTTTAATTAACCGTTTACATTGTTTGTTTATGCATATTGCAAAAAAATTGTAAATCAAAAATGCCTATGCTAATCTAGTGACCAGATACAAACATTCGTTTTATCACGTTTTTTCTAATTATTCAAGCACTGTGAAAATACTTGGAATATTTATTTATTTGTGCAATTCTATTGAGTGGAGTGTTTTATACATAATAAAATTTTATTTGTTCTATGTGAATGTCAACAATGTCATGTTTATTTGAATTTTGCAATAGATATTAGATAACAAAATGTATGTGCTAACCTGATGACCAAATATAAAAATTATGTTTTTTTTTAAATATCAAAATTAATTGATCCGGTTAGGCATGGGACTCCAATCACGGATTTTTTTTAATGTACAAACAAATTAAATTGTAACTATTCTATTCTACAGACTGAGATGACTTCAATTAATAATAAAATGTTCTTTATTATGCCGACAAAACCTTGTATATTTGTTTGCATTTCATTATTTTTTTCATACGCTATTCTACTATTCTATTGTATATTCATTTTCTCATATCATATCTCAATATACATTGGACAAAAAATTTATGTTCTAATCTGATGACAACAGATAAACAACAGAGTTTATATTTTTTAACATGAAAAATAATTCTTTACTATCCCGATAAGCAATTTTTTTGAATTTAATATTCGAAATTTTAATATTTACCTACGCTATTCTACTGGTTAAGAGGACGTCAATAAATAAAAAATATTAATTGTTATGCCGACAAAGCCTTGTTTATTCACTTTATTCATTCAAATGATATGTGTTATTAATTTCAAAAACATTTTTGCAATTTGAAAACAATGTTGCGTGGTGTTATTAATGATTATTGGTTGACACATCAAATCATAATTTTTAATTTTATTTTAAATTGTTGACAAAGTTTTTATTATTATTGTTGTCACACTCAAACTCAAGTTCAAGTTGTTGAACAACACATAAGGTAATTTAAATTGATTTGATTTAATTAATGTCCATTGACATTCTTTTTAATATATACCTAACATGATTATATCATTTCCAATGGCTAATTAAAATCATCATCGAAATAATTAAATTAAAAAAAGACAAATAGTTATTTCGCCATAAATAATCGATTGACAATAAAAACCAAAAGATATGATTGTGAACTGAAAATGTCACTAGAAATGGTGTTTATTATGGTAAATTGATGTTCAATTTAAATATGTTATACAAAATTCAAAATTATCAATAAATTCAAAAATTACATATTCCTCAAAACAATGCTAGTTCCATTTCTTGAATGTTTTAACCACAATATTTCATAGGCAGCTAACACCATGAATGAAAGTGTCAGGTCATAAAAATCACAAAGTTATTTGTTGACCTGCTTGGAAATCTTTTGATAACAACACTCGAGTTTCAAGAAACACACAAGCAGCCTTAAGACATTTGGCCAACTGTGGCCAGCCATAGTCGAAAGATAAAAATCTCTTTTAACATAGGAAAAATTGATGTCAATAATTATATTTGAAAATTATTATCCATTGCCGAGATATTAACAAGATGTCAAAAGGGGCTAAATCGTCGTTGTCATCGCTGTGCATATCAATGTGGAAGATCTGTATCAAGTTTATTACAATTTTAAATTCACATGATAGGTGTGATGTATGCATACAGATAAGCCACGAATAATACGATTTTGAATATTAAAAAACCGAAATACATTTAAAGGGGTATACATGAGGTCTCTTTTAAATATGTGATCATAATTGTATTTTAATTCAAATTAACACATCCATCGAGGCTTATCTGTCTGTTCATTCATTAATATGCCGCTACATAAAATAGTAACAAACATCAAATTTGTCTACGATTTTATTACCGTTTAAAAGTGATTTTAATTTATGTGTTGTATCTACGTTAAAATAAAACAAAAATTTAAATTAATTTCACTTTTATAGTTCATCAATGAAAACTAACAAAGCACACACTTCATACAACATGTGATATTGTATGTAGTATTACTCATTAACTAATCATCCAACAACCTTCATTCAAACATACATATTTAATTGAATTCATTTTGTTTGTTAGCTGTTGTTTGATTAGTTCAAAAAGCGAATCGAATCGAACCAGCGAACAAACGAACAAACATAAACACACAATTCTACAGATTTTAATCCATCAATGGTCACGCAAATGTCTCAATTGAATGTGCGACATAAATCTTTTCTTATTGTGGCGCTTTTTTCGCTGCTGTTGTTGTTGTTGTGCTGTCCAGCTACTAGTGTTGAAAAATCGTGTCGAATGTTGGTGTTACCTTTTAAGGTTTCAATGTTGCAGTGAATGACTTTTGTTTGCAAAAATATATATATATATATATTAGTTGGTTGCGGAATGGTGGGGGACTAGCACTGCGATCAAACATCTAACATGGTTAGTATTTATTTGTTACTGTCGTTGTATATTTATTAGTTTTATTCTTGTTTTTAATTTGCAACTCTTATCAGTATTGTCGTGAGTTGCGTGGGTTTATGTCATCTGTGAATATGCTTTATTTGCAGATTGTGTGAAGTGAGTGACTAAAGAAACTAAATTGAAACATTTGGGGAAAGAAATTATATTGATTGAGAAATATATGTTAAACTCTTATCGCTACATTTTTGAATTCTTGCATCTTACCTTACTTAATAGAATATTATCTATAAATATCGTTTTTTATTAAATTGAATTTTATAAAAGTAACTGGTAACTATGAAAGCAAACTATATAGATATGAACTTTTCTTAAAATTTAAAAAGTGCGTATGATAGCTCCTAAAAAATATAAAACAAAACTATTTGAGAATAATAAAAATAAATAAAATTAATTCTAAAATATGGTCTCGTCCGATAACCCCTGTTAAAATATTAATCAAATGAGATTAGGAGAGTTAGTACAGTCTCTCTACAAATACAAGAAAATCAGATAAAATTTTAATCGAAAAAATATCAATTCGCGACTTATAATAGCTCCTGGGTGAAACATGTGTATACAATTCTAAAAAAATATTCCAATTTAGATGGCACCGTTATATGAGGCTATATCTAAAGCGGCACCAGATGGTGTTGTCCTCTTATGAGGGGTTATGCTTTAATAAGAACCGATATAGCTAAATTTCGAATTTTAAAATATTAAAAATTACGAAAATCCGAAGGTATCATTATTTAGTTCCCGAACCTGACATCATAGTTTTCTATTTCAATATCCTCCGAAGGAAGGAGCCAGCTTTTGTAATCATTCTTAGAATGAGAATCGTCTTTGAATTCCATACTTTATAGTGTATAAACTGACAATCCCAAAGTCCAAATCTCATCACTCCAATTCAACCCAATACAAATATCAGTGGCACATTTTTATTTCAAAAAAATCAAATACGCTGCATGTGTCGTTTATCTGTTTTTCATTCATAATGCAAAATACAAATACATATATTTAGATATGTATCTCCAATGCTTTTGTTGTTGATGCTTTTACATAAATGTATTAAACTTAATTAATAATTTGTTTTTTTTTTCTTAACATGTTCATGTCAGAGACACGCTTGTTTGTTAGCGTGAAGAGTATAACGCTATGAGAAGAGATACACCGCCGAGACGATGAAATGGACATTTGGAAGAACACCACGTCTGACGGGCCGACAGACAGACAGACAAACACATTCATACAATCGTAATGAAATTGTATGGGATTTGTTGTCGTCGCTGGTGTTATCTGTGACAGTTCTTGTAGAACTCATTAATTTTTTAAATGAAAACATAACGAAAACAACAACAACAAACACCATCGGTAACAACGGCATTTGTTTTTGTTGTCTTTCAAGTGAATTTATTTTTTTCCATGATTTGTACGAGTGTTCATTTTGATATCGCTCAAATGGTGCAGCCACCAATTGGCTGTCGTTGTTGTTGCTGCTGCTGCTGTTTGTTCTCCGAGTGGAATCGAATCGATCGTTGCCTGACACGCAACTTTAAGGAATATATTCAAAATCGTTCATCGTTGACTGGAAATCAATGTTTGTCCAATATTTGTCCATTTGAGTGTTTATTTGGTTTCGTTTTTGATTTTCGTCTCGATATTGGTCACGTTTAACATTAAAAGCTTTTTTTGATTTATTGTTTTATGAATATTGAAACAACAGTCAATAACGGTGTTTGTGGCTTTTAACGCACGATAGATGTGTGCATACATATGTAATATTGTTGTAGTTGTCGTTTGTCTGTCTGTCAATTTATTACAAATGTCTTACATTTGATTAGGCCACAAAAAGAAAAAGAAATTTAGTTCAAGATCAAATCCATATCACGAAGACTGGTGGCGAAAGAGAATTGTATCAAAACATTGCGTTTGAGTATAGATTTGTTGGCCGAATAATGAAATTGTAAAAATTATTTGTAAATGGTATGTAAACGAGTTTTTTAGATCATTTTACAAAAAAATTAAAAGCATTAGAAAAATATTTCCTAATAGCGATTTTTAATATGTTTAAAGTATGCCGACGGATAACCAAATTAAATTTCTATAGGAATGTTGAAAATGAAATAGGAATTTTTAAAAAGACCGAAATAATATTAAACGTTTATATTTTAATTTCCAATTGAGCAAAACTGTAGGTGTGCTAACCTGATGATAAAGAAAATCAAAAATAAAGAAAATCATTTTATAAAAATAATCTCAAGATTTTAAACATTTTGATAATGCTAAAAACCCAAATGAAAGATCTAAATAATATATAAATGTATTTTTATTCACAATTTATATTTTCAAGTATCATTTTTGGAAATAAATGAATAAACATGTGTTAGCCTGATGACCAAAACTAAAGAAAAATATTCTAAAAATGTTGACCATTTTGATGGTGCTAGAAACAAAATAAAATATCGAAATAATAATAAAAATTTGTATTTTAATTTCCAATTTAATTGAAGTCGTACTTATACTTTCAAATATTAAATTATATTTATACTTTGGAAACAAATGAATAAAAATGTTAGTGTGCTAACCTGATGACCAAAAAAAGAAAATGTTGTTTCTATCTATTGATTTAAAAATATTAGAATAAAAGTTTTTAGAACAAACATTATAACAACAAATCCTGTTTATTTTGAAGAATTTGAGAAGTTTTTTTTTAATTTAATTTTAATTAATTAATTGTGATAACTGAGACAACTGAATTATTTTTAGATTGGGTTATCCTGATGACAACAAATAAAAAAATGTTTCTCATATTGATTTTGAAAATAGTATTAGAAAACTATAACTTTTTGTAATTGTTTTGAAAAATTGCACATTTTATTTTCCAGCAAGATTTGAATGTTGTTTTCATTTATTAGACGATTTGATTTGAAGTGCAGAAATTTGGTTGGGTATTTAACCGTCGGTATTGTAAATCATAAGTTTGCTGAAAATATTACAAATTTACGAGGATTACTTTAGAGTCCATTTATGCACCCTACGACCCTTAGACAAGAACTCAGAACTGAGTAAAATTGATATTGTAGACTAAACTCTCTTCGGTCATATGATAGCTTACATTGGAATAAACTCTTTCTCGTCACAAGTAACTATACATAGGAGCACAACTGGGTCGTCGTGATTCCAAGATATTCCAAGGAATGATAATTTCATTCGAATTTGTGTGCCGATTTGGGAAATTTGACCAAAACGTTCACAAAAAGTCAAAGGAAGTTGTCAAAAATTACCAAATAATAAATTAAAATATAGTATAAATTCCGAATCCGAACTTAAGAAATTTGATAAAAAAAAGGTTTTTACATACGATGGTCAAAGGACCGGTCAAATTGGTGGCAATAGCGATAGTCGTTTTAAATTAAGGGCAGATTTTTTTCAGTCTTTTGTATATCGTCATTTCAAAATTAAATTCAAGATCGAAATGTTTCAGTGAGGTTCATTAACCGTCGGCATTAATTTATAAACCCGAAAACTTGTACTTTGTCGAAACAATCAAGATATGAAGGCTATAAATGTCAAATAGAATGATTCATGAAACGACACCTGGACAAAAGAAGAATACATGTCAATGCTAGAACAAAATTGAAAGGACGAAGTAAATACTGCATAACATATAATCCGAAATTGAGGCAAAATCAGTGAAGTTGCATTACATTCATCCACATTGAAATGATTAACCAACGATGAACAGGTGAAGGTGTTCTTGGCCTGGTTTCAATTTTTGATAACATAATATTTTTGATAGAACTTTTATATCACAACAGTTAGTATTGTCCTGTTACACAACCTGCAACAATCTTCTATTTATAGAAATAGGTTGCGATGATTCCTTCACAAATTTTAAAATTTCTACCAGTTTCTGTGTACTGGAACAGATATGTTTTAATTGATATTATTTCCATTTTTATTACATTGATGGTTTCCAACATTTAAACCTACCTTAGAGGTGCTTCCGATTCATCATAACAACTGGCACCATCCATATCAACATCTGAACCAGTGCCGCAGGATAAGCGGGAATCCGAATCAACATCCACATGAATCTCTTGCTCATCGATATCATCGCGATCATCTTCTTCGTGTGAAGACATGTTGGAGCAATAAGAGGGAGCCAATATGATAATATTAAATTACACACTGAACACACACACACACAGTCAACTACAATGGTATACGTTTAATTTTGAAATCTTTAAGTTTTGTGTTTTTTTTCAAAATTTATTAGATCACAATTTAACAAATTGCTATTATATTTAAAACTCTTTCTTTTGGTATTTATGATATTTAATTAATTTTTATTTGTTATCTTTTTTATTTTATTTCTTTACTTGTCTATTTTTTGAAACGTGTTTTTGCATCAATTCATTTATTTTTATCCGCTCACGTTTATTTGTTTTGTATTATTAATCCGTTTATTTATTTGTTTTCTTTTTTATTTTGTCAATTTCTTATTTCATCTTTTGTTCTCCTTGTTGTTGTTTTCAATAATTCGCTTTATTTTGTTTTGAATGAAAAGCGCTTTAACGAACTCGACAAATTGAGGTGTTAACGCTAACTGAATGGTAAACTTCCCCGTTGCAAAACATCAACCAGAGCACAGAAATGTACACACATACAGACGCTCAAACGCACACCGCACACGAAGAGCCACTTGAAATGTCGCTCCGGTCTTGTTAGCCTCCTAAAGCTAATGAACAGCAACAATGAATGGTCTGTTTAAAATCGTTGTATGGTCTAGTGGTGCTATTGTTGTTGTTGTCTGTTGCAAAGGAGTACACTGGGCACAACCACCACCACCAACGTGCACCATCAATAAACCAACAAGCAAACAAACACAATGGCTTGTTAGACCTGTTTAACTGCTTCCTTCCTCTTCAAATAAAATGAGTGAACATGCATCGATGGTTGTGTGTCGTTGTTGGGTTTGTTTGTTGTTGCTACAACAAAGAGATACCTAACCTACGCTAATAATAATGGCACTTGCTATGCCCAATTAAGCACAAAACTCCGCCTTTGTGTGAAGAGACTGATGTTCCCTCTCTCTTTCGCTCATTGTTAGACATCACATAACTAGCTGAGTTGTTTATGGTCTCAAAAACAAACTTGGCATCACTTTTTCGTAACATTCATAGTAGGCGTTGCTTTAATGCAATTGGTTCAGCGCTTGCGCTTTGTTTCACAGAAACTGGGGAACTTTTAAATGAAAATCCATGACTGAAAGCGATGTATGTGCTTTTTTGGAACATTACTAGACTATGTTGGTGTGTATGTTTGGCTTTTGTGACGACATTTTAAATGGAAAACGTTTTGCTTTTGGGGTTTTGTTCGTTAACACACAGATACATACCTTTATACGAGTATTCTGCTTATGAGTGGGCGTTGAATTGTTATTGTTCGCAGATTTACTAAACAATTTTCTGTTGTTATTTTTTGTATTTTTCATATATTTTATTTTTGATTTCCTCTTTCACGTTGAGAAGCATTTAACGCTTTGTATGTGAATTGGGTAAATGTTGCAGATTAATAGTTCCATGGATATGTTGAACTCAAGACGAGGGGTGTTATTATGATTAAGTTTATGGATTGTTAATTATTTGAAAAATACTATTGATGACCATACTCTTAGGATTATGATAACGGAAATTCTGAACCGTCTGATCTAAAACAACATAGACAATTTTGATCCAAAATTAATTTTCCGGCAACAAAACAGAATATAACCTTAAGCACAAATATTCGTACCGTGTAACGCTGTTTACCATAATGTAAAATAGGGCGGGGCTATCAAGAGGATAAATCCATAACTATTATCGGTCTACTTCCAAATTTTAAAATTTCGACAATATTCATAAATTATTTCGACGGCTTGTAACATATGAGTATATTGTTGTGTTTTTTGCGCTTACTGGAAAATTGAAAAAATATTCGCACGGAAGTAGAAAGAATACATGCCTGATCCTGGTATGAACTAGGATTATTAACTTACTCTGGGCTCAATTCAAAAAACGTAGATATATGACAGTTGTCGGCACTTTAATGCTTTTCGTCTTCCGATTTCATTTTTTTACGATAAATTGAACTAATTTTTATAAAAGTTGTGTTAAAATAGTGATAAAAAATGCCAACCGTAGCAGTAGATACTAATTCTAACTTTTGTGAGGGAGGTACAAGAGATGATGGACCCATATCCGTTAGTTGTACTAAATCTAAGGTTATTATAAATATTAAGGTATGCTAGGTTTAGATTATACAGATTTTGTTCCTAAATCAGATACTCTATAAGCTTCATATGAAATTTAAAAAATTTCAAAATTTTAACACTTTGTGGACCGGTAAGATTCATATCCTGTGTTGATTTGGGTTTTGTAAAATACTACGATATCGAATCGGATACTACATTAGCATTATATGAAATTTCCAGATGCTTGACATATTGAAAATTTAATGGGAACTAGAGATACTAGGACAACAAAATTTGTTGTTCGACTAGGTATGCACTCTTTTACAACAAAGTGTTTGTAGGATTCAAGAAGAAGAACAACAACACCCAAAACCACACAGTTCTTTGTGGTGTTTTGAAGAAAGCTGAAGTAATTATTTACGTGGAACTTTTGGGTAATTTAATTATGAAAAAATATTTGAAAATATTGGTGTATTTAATTTGCATTTGCATACCCATAAAAGCCAAACAACCACAAGAAATTGTATCAATCAGAATTGGAGACTGCAAACAAATTGCTATGATGAAAGCAAACCTCAAAGATGCCGAACATATTCCTGCCGGTAAGGACATTTTAGAGAACAGGCCTATGATATTTTTTTTGACCATTTCCAAATACTTATGGCTTCGAATATACAAACAATTAAGGATAATTTTGAAACATCCAGAAACAAGTTTAATACGTTTTGTCAAGGGTATTGTGGAGGCTATATGCTATATAAAGAATTTAAGGTACTACTGAAATCTCAGTACCCATTTAATTGCTTTACTATCTAGCAGGCTTTTTTCTACTAGTTTGGAACAACAATAGGGTATCTAAATCGTGAAAACGAAACGGCCACTCTATGGATTTCCATAACTTGTTAGATATATATAGTCGAGTACGCTTATAATGTACACCAGATATAACGAACTTTGTTTACAGCGAACTCTTTTCCTGGTCCCGAAGTTTTAATACATATTTTTCATACAAATACTCTTATAGCGAACTATTTTTTATAACGAACTATAAATTGGGTCCCAACATTTAGTTTTCATATATTTTAAATTTGGTTATAAAGAACTTGCTACAAAAAATGTCGGTCTTTTCAAAAAAAATAAAAAATGTCAAAGAAAAAGAGAAACAGCTTAAGAATTGCCAAAAAGGACACAAAACATACCAGCTTCTTACTGTATATATATTTTTTCTTCTAAGCCTTGCTTTGCCTTACCATGTATATAACGAACTTCTTCAATAATGAACTAATTTGATTGGTCTCTACTAGTTCGCTATAATCGTTCTCGTTACTGTTCTATTAAACGTTTGTAGGTACATCACCCACAGATAATGAAGGACAATGCATATCATATCTATGACTGGAAAGCGAAATTACTTTCACTTGGAGACTTTATGATAGAAGGTATAATGCTGAATAAGATAAAAGGTATAATGAACAAGCATAATTATGTCAATGTTCTTTAAACCAATTTCCTAGAAAATGTGGAGTGCATATCCAATATCAACAATATAGAGATTCTAAGCACACCTCGAAAATTGTTAGAAATTTGTTGTCTAACCAAAAATTTCAATTGCTCAAATGACCAGCACAAACCCCATATATTTATTCTATTGAACATTTCTGAGCGCTTTTGACTCTGGATGAACTCTGGCAAAAAGCACAGGAGGAATGTAATACAATCCCGTGTGAAATCTTAAAAAAAGAATGGTGCAGAGTATGGCAAATCACATTCAATGTATAAAAATAGCAACGATTGTGGACAAAATATTAAAATGTATACGAAATTTTATAATTTGAAAACATTTTTATTTAATATTTTCCCCACAATTATTTCCCCAACATCGAAATATGGAACTCATCATTGTTTCAGCCGGTTTTCATTGTTTCTCTCGGCGATTTTGGTTAGCTCAGCTGAAGTTCGAATCATTTAAGGCAGCTCCATAGAATGGGTTGGGTTTTCAGTGGAATTTCCTCTCTTTTCACTCATCTGGTTGAACGTTGTTGGTATTGGTCTGTTGGTTCATCTTCTATGTTTTATTCTTTCTGTTGGTTTTTATTAAGTTTTATTTTTGTTTTTTTGCTCATGTTGTTATCTGTGATTGAACATTTTTTGTTAACAGCTTTGAGAATTACTTGCAGCGTACATCCAGCTAGTGATGACCGAAAAAACTAAGAAAGGGGCAGCGGCTTCACGGCGGAGTGTTCTATGGACGCATAAATGGCTGATTGTTTTCTCTGTGGCGTTTTGTTTCCACATACAATTGAAAGCGATTACCCTCTTTAGTTGTTTTGTTGTTGGCATTTTCATTGCTTTTACTGCTGCTATTGTTGTTTTTGTTGTTGTTGTCCAATTTGAGATCTTTATTGGTTAAATACTTCTAGCATGACTGGTTTGGCTTGACTTTGGCGTGTTCTCTCTAATCTCGAAGCTATTGGCATTTATACGATAATAGACAGCATTATGGCTTGTGTTGGTTGGTGTGTCGTTTTATTTTTCATTCCTTTTCTGTTGTTGTTGTTGTTTTAGATTTTCCTTAAATGACTCTTTCTTGGACATTTCAATAAATTGGTCTAGGCAAAAGCTTTTGCCAAATTGAGATGCGATTTTAATTTGAAATTCTTACGGTTTATATTCGAAATGGCCATGGTTTGTTAATTTAAGCCAAGTGTTGCATTGTCGTTATCGAATGATTTCCATATTTGTTAGGGGATATATTTTTGTTTCCAAAAACAAGCGCGGATAATCTATTAACAATTCAGTTTGTTTGTTGTTGTTGTCAGTTAGATAGAAGATGAGCTGCAGTTCAACTTGTATATGTTAACGGCTTTATCCTTCGAGAAATTGGTGTATATTTTTTGGTAAAGATGTGGCGGTGAATTTATTATTCGTTAAGTGTATATAAATTATATCGA